TTTATATTGCAAGTGGAAATGTACGTAGGATTTTATTACCCAATAAACTCTTAAGCACATTGAAAAAAATTTTAAAAAGAAAAAGAAACTGTTATCAGTAGCATTCCCGTCTTGACTTTTTAAAAATCCTGTTTTTGGTGTACCTCAACTGATCCATCAGCTGGTTGTTGTCTCATAATAGACAAGTAGTTATTTTTGACACTTTGCCTTGTTACAGTAATCTGTATATTTGATTACTGTATGATTTGGAACTGTTGGTACTTAAAGCCATCCGTATCAAGTTCTACAAAATGATTAATTATTTTTGTCATTTGTTCTCAGGATCAGTTTGATAAGTCACAGAGAAATATCATTTGGGTTGCTGTATGAAAAAGTAAAAAGATTATTCAACTAGAAAAAAAGGAAATTCTATTTAGTCCTAATTTAAAAAACAAAAAACAAAACTTGCCATAGGGTGTGTGTGGTCATCAGAGAGACATGTACTAAAAGAGAGAGAAGGAAAATGAGAAATCACACCCTGGGGAGATGGCCACACCACAATCTCTTTTCCTCTATTTTCCTCTTGGGATTTCAGGCATACATGCATATGTGCCTACTGTTTTTTTCAATCCTCCAGGTCCAGGACTTGAAGCACACAGTCAGCCATGTGGGATCCAGTCACTTAACCACCACTGGTTGACCGCTAGTCCTGTATTTGAAAAGCAAAGTAGCTTGGAGGTAAGTCATATACTTTCTGTAAGCTTAAATTCTTTATTCTTTAAAATAATATTGACCCAGTTTAGACAAAAGTATTATAAAGATTAAGTAAGGTATAGAGATTGAATTTTGCCAAGCATAAAAAGCCTACGTCATTGGGACCAGCAGTTAGCGTAATAGCTATGTCGCTGGACTCCCACGTAGTCGACCGCGGTTCATGTCCCGGATCTGGTGGCTTAAAACTCACACTGAGCGCGTGTGCATGCATGCCCAAGATCCTGAGAGGAGAATAGAGGAGAAGGGATTGCGGTGTGGCCATTCCCCCTGGGGGGTGATTTCTTGCTTTCTGTCTCTCTGTTTGTCTGGCCAGTGCACGTGCCCTAAAGCAAAAACCTCTCCAAAATAAAAAAATAAAAAATTTAAAAAATTAAAAAAATTTTAAAAGCCTACATCATTAAATAATGATATTACTTGCTAAGAATTTCTAATGAGGAGACAGTTAAATAAATTAACTATGAGAATGAAAAATAGATAAATCAGCAGATGCAAAATCTACTCATTTGATAATTCCCAAGGCCATTAGTTTGTCATATATCCACATTCACTGACATAATAAAAATAAATACAAAGCATTCCTTTCATCTAAAAATGTTTTCCTCTTTTCTGGGTAATCTCATATAGACAATCTGGCACCTACCAATTCCATCTAAGAGGACTGTTTGAAGCATTTAATCAATCTTTTACAAAATGTACACATCTGCTGCTTTTATAATTGTGACTAAAAAAAGGATTTGCTGAATATTTTTTGCCTCTTTCTCATTCTCAAACTGAGCCACTGGCAAGGATTCTGGACTGAGACATCCCACAATGCACTGGAGATAACTTTCCTTCCAGACAAATATCAGCTAACCACGGTATACAATCAGCTGCCCACGTTGGAAGAAACAAATCAGAAAACCTCTGTTCCATAATCGCAGAATTGAAAGAACTGCATAAGTGAAATGACAGGCTATTAATTCTGGTTTGGAAAGCATGAATAGGACTTTTGATGAAGCTTAATTTTCTTTTGGCTTTTCAGAAATGGATAAATCATTTAAAATAAAAATAGATGTTGTATTATAGAGCACTCATTTCTCTCAATATTTATTATTTGGGAAAACAATTTTTTAATGATGAAAAATAATGATGAAGTATCACATGAATGCTTCAAAATAGTACACAGTTCATTCTCTGCTGCCTCAGTAAGCTTTAGACTTGAAAATTATTTGCTGTAATTTATGTAAATTTCCACTATATAAAATTTTAATTGAAAAGATATAATATTTCATTAAGTACTGTCGCACATTTGTATTGTTGCCAAATGAAGCTTGGCTGTACTGCCAAGATATTTTGCTACTGACTGGATTTTGTCTCCAGTCTAAGCCAAATTTAACCTTCAAGACACATCAACCTGTGTGTACTGCATAAGAGAGATTATATCTATATAAAATAGCATATTTATATGCTTTTATATCATTTTATGATTTACACGTATATGAATAATTCCCATCGGCAATTTTGTCACAAAACTTCCGTGATGTTAATATAAATATCGATACTTCAAAGCCTTGCACCTGGAAAAGTATTTATAGTTCTATGAACTGAATGCTGCGACAGTAAGATTTTTTAAAAAGATAAAAAGAGAGAAAGCATTTTAGAAATAAATATGCCCTGAGAGTTTGTCTGGAATGTATAAGCAAGACTGTGAAAGAAACTTCTTTTTTGTGTTTAGAAATTTTTTTCCCATTTGTGAGATAGTGAACCTTGTTTTCTATTTTTCCCGGGGCTGGCAAATTTACCTTGAAAACGTTGCATGGGGTAACAGTGAGGAAGGGCTTTGCACACTACCACTGCATTGTAATTAGGAACTATTCTCCCACATTATCATGTTGAACTTGACTTACATTCCTTACCAAGGAGCTGACAGGACAGCTCTACTTCACTTAATTACTGAGAAAATTACTGAAGTGGTTACTGAGCATATAGGGTAACAACTGCCATCTTAGTAGGGAACTTACTGAGAACACTACCAACATAATTCCAAACTTTCCCTTTTTGTACTAAACCTGGGCACTTAGTTTAGAACTCTGGCTTCCTGTAACAGTTCATCTTCAATCATTCCTTCTTCCCCAAAGTGTCCGGGATGTCACCTGATGCACCAACCCCAGCAGCATAGTAGTCATCATATAGTGGATGCCTGCAGAAGGTGCTGGAAACTTCTTCCACCGGAATGACCGCCACACTAAGCTGCTCAAGCAATCACTTCTGTCCTTATTCTCAAAGAATAGAAACTGGAATAAAGGCAAACTTTTAGGCTTTTCTACTTATTTTTCACGCTTCAATGCTTTGGGAGAAATGTTCAAAAAATGAAATCATACAAATGTCCATAAAGGATCCTAAAGAGAATCTTTCTGAGCTTTCTCATTTGAAAATTCTGGTTGAAACGAAGCACTAGCTATGTCATTGTGTTTAATTATTTTAATGCCTAAAATGAAAGCACTTTCTGCTTTAAAAGTTTAGAGTATTCTGTGTCTTCTCTTCTTTGGGGGAAAAAATATCTGACTGTGTTTTGTAGGGTTCATTTTATAATGCAGAGATGGAGATAGACCCATCAATTTTCTTTAAGAAAACTTATTTTAAAATGTAGCCCAAGTCTGATATTCTAAGTGAAAACAGGTAAAGTAAGGATGAGTGATCAAGAAAGAGCTAGATCTTAGACTATTTTGTGAATGTGTGAGGGAACTGCCTTTTCTAGGTACAATTGAGCAGCTTGTGTTTATACAACCTGCCTTGAAAATCTTTTGGACATGTGTATGTGAGAAGTATGTGAGTAAGAGAAAGAAGAGAAAGAGATCTTTTCTTTGAGCAGCTCCTCACCTACCATGGATCCTACTGAGCACTTAATACATGCCAAGCACAGTTTTCTATAAATGCTGTACATATATTAACTGCTATCCTCATAGCAAGCCTCTGAGTTAGAAGCAATTAATATCCCCATTTCATACAGGAGGAAATTGAAGACCACAGAAATAAAGTGACATCTCATGACGTCAGAGAGAGAGGCTACACACGAGAGGGAGCTGAACTTGAATAAGAGTAGATGTATTTGTCTCACTCCTCATTTAAAAGAGAAAGTGCGAATACCCACTATTAAGATATTGTAGGTTTTTGATAATTACTCTATAGAGGAATAAGAAATGTCTCTTTTGTTTCTAGTTTGCTAGGATTTTTTTTCTAAAAATCATAGATCAATGTTAAAATGTATTATACTTTTTTTGTATCTATTGAGATGATCATAGGATTTTTACTCTTTATTAAAGGGTCAGAGTACAATGATTGACTCTTTTTTTTTTCTTTTTTTTTTTGGAGAGGTTTTCGCTGTAGGGCGTGTGCTCTTGCCAGGCAGACAGAGAGAGACATAGAGACAGAAAGCGAGAAATCATCCCCAAGGGAGGATGGTCACACCGCAATCCCTTCTCCTCCATTCTCCTCTCAGGATCTTGGGCTCGCACACACACGTGCACGGTGTGAGTTTTAAGCCACCGGGTCCGGGACGTGAACCACGGTCAACTACATGGGAGTCCAGCGACATAGCCATTATGCTAACTGCTGGTTCCCAATGATTGACTCTTTAATGTTCATTAAACATTGTATTTCTGAAATAAATGCTACTTTGTCACAAGGTAGTATATTTATTTAGTGGTTGTTTTGTTTTGTTTTGCCATAGGGCATGTGTGCTTCCTGGAAAGAGACAGAGAGACAGAGAGGAAAGCAAGAACTCTACCCCCCATCCTCTAGGGGGTTATGGTCATACCACAGTCTCTTTTTCATTCTCTTCTCAGGATTTTGGGCATGCATGCACACAAGCCTGCCATGATTTTCAAGCTGCCAGGTTTGGGACTAAAACTCTGGTTGACCATATGTGAGTACAGTGTCATAATCACCATACTATCTGCTGGCCTAAGTATATTTATTAAATTGAAATAGTTTTGCTTTTTTTTTTGGAATTCTTTTTATTCATGTTTATGAGCAAGTGTGACCTACATTTTTAATACAAAATTCAAAAAGAACAGTGCAAGAAAGAAAAAATGTAGATCACACTTGCTCTTAATCATAAGAGCTTTATAATGAATTGAGATTATAACTACTTTACCAAATTCTGGAAAAGTGTAACACTATTACTGTTTCTTCCTTACATGTTTGGCAAAATCTGTTAAGAAACTTTATCTTTGTGGAATGATAATATAGCTTTTATTTATTTACAGAAAGAAAAATGACACCTGGAAAATTAGTGACAACCCTGAAGCAGGTAACCTCCTTCATTTACTTACTTCCCTGATGTTACCAAGTCAGTGTCTTTAATGGTTAAAAGAATATATAGATTTTTCTATTCTTTTCAGTTTTATAAATTGTTTTCTAAGAGTTATTTTATTTTATTCAAGCTCTTACTTATCAAGATAACTTGTTTATATTATCCTGTTGTCTTTTTGAATGTCTAATCTATAGTGATATCTCATTTTTATTTGAAACTATTTATTTAGGCTTATCCTTTATTTTTACTATCATTCTTATTATTTAAATCTTTATCATATCTCACTACAGGTTGTCGAATTTACTTTTTTGTTTTCCAAGAAGATTAATTTTGACTTTGTTTATATCCTCTATAGAAATACTTCTTCTCCGGAACTTAGAGGGGCTGGCTTAGTAATAAAATCAGAGTGACAGTGTGCTAAGTACATGGCACCTAACCTGAGTTTCTTACTTGCAAAGAGCCAACATCAGTGAGGTTGTCATGGGTAACCCAGAGAGATCGGATATTAGAGCTTTGTCCCTTGACTATCATGAGAGCCTTGGATAACCTAGTTCAATACTAGCATGAAGAAAACTTCAATGATGGCTGAGATGGAATTTTCCTTCCATTTCCGAAAGGTGCAAGTCTAGAGTAAGAATTGCATTGTTTAATTCTCAAAATTTTCATGGACTTTATAACCTCGTTTTTTAAAAACATAATTTTTATTGGTAAAGTGAAAATTTCATGGATTTAGCTTCATAGTCTCTCATTTTTGTTTCCCCACATAGATGATCACTTCAAAGAAAAGGGCCCTCTTCTCTTCAAAGAGAAGAGTCTCATATGCCCTGCTGTCACTCTGGCCAGACAGCTTCCTGAACAGATAGATATCCAAAGCCTAGAAGGGATTGCGTTGTAAATAAGTTCTTTTTGTGTATGTGTGTGTGTTCAATGGGGATTTTATTATAATTTTTAATTAGCATAGCATCAGGTTTAAATATCTCAAAGGAACACTGCAGATATTTGGCAATTAATGTTCATAAATCACCTTGAGATCCTTGTGGTAGAGTGAGGCTATATAAATGAATAATGTACTAATGAAAATAATAATACATGTACTCACATTCCCAAGCCAGTTTCCTGAATTAGGTCTTGAAGCTAAAGGAAAGCTGCAAATGTAGCTAGGTATCTAAATAAGAAAATATTATCCTATTCTATTAAGTCATAATAAAAACTATCTGTGAAATACATGATATAAACATGACCCATGAACATGATTTTTAGTACATCTATTAATACTTATTGTTTGAATAAGCAACTGTTTCACTGTTTGAATGTAGTTATTAGATCAAGAACTGAAGACTGTAATCATTTTTCTTGGATGATATGTGAAAGCTAATTGGCAGTTGTTTCAACATAATTGCCTAATGTTGCTCAATGAAAAATTATGGACTATTACTAATTCAGGTCTTGTCAATGACATAATGAATATTTCTGAAAGTGTTTTTAGAAACGATTCTTTAAAAAGGCAAAACAGAGTCCAAGTTACCCTCAAACTATAAAAGAAAAGGCATTCTGCACATCTGACCACTTTTCATTTCCTTTAGTACTAAAGGTCAATGATTTTATGTCTCAGCCAATATTCCTTCTCTTCTGGTGCTGCAGAAGATGGGAAAGGAGGAAGGATATTATATTCGTGTTTATTTTATGTATGCTGCTAAATTCAGTCATTTTGTATTTTGGTTCTGAAAGTTCTGAAAATGGCATCAAACATCTTAGAACAAGTAAACATGAGCTGTTTCCATAATTACACAGAATATGTTAGATCATAAGATCTTTACTAAATTAGACCTTTAGGGCTGAGAAATAGAAAAAAAGAACCATTATGTTAGCTACTTTTTCTTTTTTATTAAAGGATTACTTTATTTAACTTTATTTATTTATTTTTAATTTGAGCAGAGAGTGACAGATTAAGAGAGAGAGGGACTCAAACCAGTCAGTCATGTAAGAGTCCAGTGCCCCTAACCACAACACCATATTCTGGCCCTATGAATTACACTTTCTAATTTCACAACTGTATTTTTTACATAACCAAGTTTGTAATGAATAATTTGTTTATTTTTGTTGTTGCTTGCTTCTTGTCTGTCTCCTCCAATAAGAATATCAGTTCTTTGAAACAATAGCTTTCTCTGTCTTCCTTGTGTGTATTACCACACTCTAGGTTTACCTGCTGCATAGTAAACAATAAATATCATTGAATAATTAATAAATGATCAAGAATGTTACTATTTCCTCCCCCAAACAATAAGATTATTATTTTGAGGGGGGACACTTCTTTATTTTCATTTTTAATATATGGGAGAGCAAGTGGGTGTGTGTACAAGAGAGGAGAGGTAGAAAGAGAGAGAAGCACCTTCCATAAGGCTTGGTCATGCCTCCATTCCCATTCTGCAGTCCTCCAGCCTGCCATCTTCCTGGGTGTCCATGCACATATGTGGCCAACCAAGCTGGGAACTTGAACTCCAATCAGCACTCAGCTTCTATCTCTGCAATTTTGTATACTACTGCCTCTGCCACAGAGGTGAGACTTGGAAGCATTTTTAGTATTATTACAACTGTGGCTATAAAAGTTGCTATACATTTTTTTTAGCATTCAATCATTGTGTATCATTACAGCATACTAAATGAATTTTCCTATCATGAATACACTGCATTTCCATTCCATCAAAGACATTACTGTATACATGATAATCAACAGATTTCTTTCCATTTTGGGTCCCTTAAGTGTTTTGTTTCTTTCTTCTTTTCCTTGATTCCCTCCCTTTCACCCTCCCTCTTTCCCACCCTCCTCCTCCACTGTCTCCAGTATCATCATATTTTTTTATGCTTTTATACCTTCCAATCATTCAATTTCTGCCATAGAGTACCGACATTGCTAGTTTTCAAAAACAAATACACAAAAGGAAGAGATAAAAGCATGGAAGTTGCTTAGTTGGAGTTCCTGCTGTACTGCACCACAGTGGTGTTCAGTGATGTCATACATGTTAGCTTTAAACAAGCCTATTAGGAGCATGTACACCACAGAAACAGGGATGTATGGCAAGTCAGTGTCCCCAGCCTGCACCAGAAAGTTTGTTCGTAAATATTTAACAGCATGCAACTTGTGATAGAGAAAAAAACACAGAGTTAACTTGGTTAACAGATAAGTTATTAAAAATCATGATACAGAAGCACATGCCAGCTATTTTTCTTTCATGCCGATGTCATACAGAAACAGGAAGTATGCCTTAGCAATTGACCAATTTAACAACACATAAATAGGGCTGGTACTGTGGCCTAGTGGTTAAGAGAACTGAATCCCACATGGCCAACCATGATTTGAATACGAGCCCTGGCAGCATGAGAAAAACTGCATGTGTGTGTGTGTACATTCCTCAAATTCTGGCAGAATAGAAATGGAGAAATGATTGTGACATGATGAAACTCCATTGGGGGTACTTTCTCCCTTTTCCTCTCTCCCTCTTTCTATCTCTCTCTGGAAAGAACATGTGCCCTCTGAAAAAATAAGAAAAAATAAGAAAAAGCTATGAAATAGCCTTATGGTCTTCAAAGTATTCTTGTTGGATAATAATACCTTACCTCAGATTCTGGCAGTGTCTCAATTCCAAGAGGGGAACAGAGTGAATGAAAAATTTCAGCAACTGAAGAGACATGTTATTGGAGAAAGAAAACCTACAATTTACTTCCACTTCTTAATGATAGCTTATAGACTAAAATAATTCATGCTGAGGTTGAGGGTTGGAGGCACACATAAATGAAGAATTCTCTAAGCACATCTAAATGTATATGGATTTGGGTAGAACTGCCAGTCCAAAGTGTGGTTTTCAAAACATTTATATAATTTATGGTCAAGCTTTAGTGGTGAATGCGACCACAATTTCAGAAAGAAAGAATGCTCATCAATACAGAGAATTGAGAGAAGTTCCATTATTTAGAAGATGGAAGATTATTCAAAATTTTCAAAAGAGTTAACCAATTGGGAACCAGCAGTTGGTGTAATGGCTATGTCGCTGGACTCCCACATAGTCGACCACGGTTCATGTCCTGGACCCGGTAGCTTAAAACTCGCGCCGGGTGGGTGTGCGTGCATGCCCAAGATTTGAGAGGAGAATGGAGGAGAAGGGATTGTGGTGTGACCATCCCCCCTGGGGCGTGATTTCTCGCTTTCTGTCTCTATGTCTCTCTCTGTCTGTCTGGCGAGCGCATGCACCCTATAGTGAAAACCTCTTAAAAAAAAAAAGTTAACCAATTATAAATGATTGATGTAAGTGGGAATCTTAGATAGTTCAGGGTCACAAAAATAATTGAATCGACCAGAAATGAGATGTTAACTATATAATCTGGCAGGAGGGTCAAAGGTAGATAATGGAAATAACAATAATTTGGACATTCAGTCTTAAGAGGACAATTTCCATTGAATAAAAATAGAAGCTAAATCACAAAGGCTTTACTAATGGATAGGTGCTTTGCAGGTAGCGAATAATATTAATTTTAAAAAGGATTAGGCTCTCAATTATGTATAGTGATTGAATGCTTAAAAATAATAAATAAAAATAAAATTTTTAAAATTTTGAGAAGGATAGGCTAGCTCCATGACCTGGTGGTTAAGATAGGTGGATCTCACATGACCAGCCATGTGGTTCAAATCCTGGGCCCAGTGGCTTGTGAAACACACTGAATACATGTGCATGTGTGCCCCAAATTCTGAAAGGATAAAGAAATTAACAAGGAATTGCAGTGTGACCATGTCCCATAAGAGATGCCTTCTTCCTCTTCTTCTTACTCTGTCTCTTTCTGGTGTCTGTGCTTTCTGGAAAATAAAACACAATGATCTGGGTGTTGGTGGAAGGAATTTGATATATTCAATGTTAGGGCTTGATACTAGTAAAACAGAAAATGAGGTTATATGATGAGATGAAAAGTGGGTCATTGTCATGAACATTTCTAGTTCTACCACTTAT